CAAAAAATTAAAACTTCTTAAACATTAATAATTTACTGTATGTGACTAGTTTCATTCGATATTATTCTTATTTTGTTCATATTTTTAAAGCAATTCAGCCTACGTGTTCTTATAAAATGTGTTCTTATAAAACGAAAAAAACAAAAACAAAAACAAAAATAAAAAAACATGTGCATAATGTGGATGTAACAAGCAATGATAAGATGATTGACAGGTTTGAGAATGGTTGAGCAGAATTGGGCGCCGAGGCGATGAGCCCTGTCTGTCGGGATATAGAAGAGTATATTCATTTCAGTGAAATTAAAGAGGAGAACCGTTTGCATGACATTGGTATAATAGAATTCAATCACTGCGCGAACGGCGGCGGCGTTCCATCTCTCGTCACTCTCTTATTTCTCCCAAGGGAAGTTCAATAATGGTTTGTACGCTGATTCACTTATAAACAATTATTTTGTTATGATTCTGTATACATAATATTTAAGATTCGTGCGTTATGATTTCCAGTATTGGTAAAGTTTACCATTGATAGAGTTAAATTGATGAACGATCCATAAACGGATGAGTAAATGGATCTTTCGGTAAATAAAAAAATAAAAAATAATAAAATAAATAAATAAATAAAATGAAAGAAATTAATCTGTATGATAATAATAATAATAATAATAATAATAATAATAATAATAATAATAATAATAATAATGGAAGACTGAAGACTAAAAAAAAAATCGTAACGCACGAGCATGAACATTAGTATACAGAATATAGCTTGGTTTCCATACAATCGCTACACGCTATCGCCGACCCCTTTTGGCGACGTTGACTGGTTAAGCTCGGTTTCCATAGAATTGCTCACCCTATCGGCGACAGTCGCCGACAGTATTCGTGAAGATTGAACCTGGTTCAACTCTGCCGATTGCGATAGGGAGAGCGATTCGATGGAAACCAAGCTTGCACGGTTTCCATACAATCGCACACTGACGCTATGGTGTTTTCATCGCAATCGTTGTGTCATCGAAGCAATCGGGAAGGCCCCCCGATTCGACCGACCAATCGGCATCACCAAAAGCTGTCATCGATAGCGTGTAGCGATTGTATGGAAACCAAGCTATATTCTGTATACTAATGTTCATGCTCGTGCGTTACGATTTTCAATATTGGTAAAGTTTACCATTGATAGAAATGAATGAGTAAATTGATAGTCCGGTCAATAAGTAACAATAATAATATTGGTAGTCTTCAGCTTTATTTCCATAGAATCGCTGGCCTACACAGTCGCTACGGCGTTTTGCTGCAAACATTGCACTGCGTAGCTGTCCCCGACGAAATCGGGAACGCTCCCTGATTCAACTGACCAATCAGCGTCGCCAAAGGAGTCGGCGATGGCGTGTAGCGATTTATAGAAACCACGCTTTAAGCCGGTTTTCCACTAGGCGAATTTATTCGCGCGAATCGCAAATTTGCATTTGGGGATCTCGTGATGAAAATTTAACTGCACATGCGTATAGGCTAAAATTTTCGATTCGCGCGAATGAATTCGCCTAGTGGAAACCAGCTTTATATCGCATTATGATAAGAAATCTATGCCTTGGAATAAAGATACAAAGTAGGCCTACATAAAAATATCGACAATCGTCAACATAAATCATTACGCCCTAATACTCCTGTCGGTTCAATGAGACAAACTATAATAAACTTAATATTAACACTACTCAACATTTTACTACTCAACTTATGGAAACATCACGTTTTGATAGTTAATGTACAATACGATTATCAGCTGACATTGATTTCACTTTGGCTGGCATTAACAGTATCGAGGTAAATTAAATCTACAAAATAAACTATAGTGTTCCCGAATGTTGGAATATGCAATGCGAGGTTATATTTACCGTTTATCGTTGGTAGATTTATTTGAACAGAAAATCACCACAGACATTTATTGCATTTTGAACGTACTTTTGTATCAACAGTTAATCAGTAAAACTATACATTTGGGAAATACCAAACGACTATAGAATTGAAGGTGATAACATATATTTGAGAAATTATCAGTTCCAATAATACAATCGGTTAACTTGAGAGAGAACTGGTCGGTCAAAAGATCAGGATGATTTTTTTTTTGTTTTTGTTTAAAATAATTGTACAGTATTTCAATAGTTAAAATAATGCAGCACTAAATGTGCACTACGACATGAATGCGCTTTACTACTCAGCCAGTTTAAGTAGGCTTGACAACACTGCAAGGGCTGGTTTAGGCTTAAATTTACTATGAACTGAAGCTCGTGTCCTTGTGTGGAGAGCGTAGAAAGAGCTACGGGTCACGCGAGTTTACGCATTTTAACTTGTCTTAGGACCACTCATCTCGCTCCTTCATAATTTCACTGACGGCATTCCTGATTTGAAGATGATTCTGAGTGTCCGCAAACAATTCGCTCTGATTAAGAGTTAATATTATTTCCGGAATTAGCATGAAAGTGGTAGAAAAATAAAATATTATTGGGATCAGAAAAAAAAAAAATTGGCGAACTAATGTGAGGATGCGTTCGGAGTTATTCAATTATGTAAATGGGACAAGTGACAATAGATCTTTCCAAAGTGTCAATCAAACTTAACGACATACCAATCAGAACAGGTCCAGGACCTCGCGCGTGTCTCAGTCCACAGACACACGTGTTTGCGTATGTTTTACACTGTCAGTTTTTGGGGGACTTAGCAACAATATCCAAGGGGCGGGGCTTAGCGGAAAGATCCTTTGTCTTCCAATTCCAGGGTCCTGGGTTCAATTCCTGTCAGTGTTGCAGGATTTTTTTTTTCTCGCGACAAAAACAACCCCACTCACTAAAACTCATATTGAGATTTAGCTTGTGTGAAGCATCGTGTGTGTATTGTCTTGTGAAAGGGATTGTCACCTAAAAGTAAGACAGTAATAATATATTATTGACAATACTTCGTACAAGTTAAAATAAATAAAAATAAATAAATAGGGCTAGTTGTAATAAAAATAATCATTAATTCTAATTAGGCTTATTATTTACAATATAGTATCGTACAACACTGTACGGTAATGATAATGGTTATTATTATTATTATTATTATTATTATTATTATTATTATTATTATTATCATTATTATTATTATTATGATGATGATGATGATGATGATGATGATGATGATGATGATGATGATGATGATGATGATGATGATGATGAAAATTCCGATGACAATGGCAGGTCTAATAGTAATAGTAAATTATTAAACATTATAATGGCAAATGATAATAACATAGTAAAGACAATAATTGTATAGGCCTACACTGATAACAGAAATAGTAAAAACAGTTTCCTTGCCAACCGTCACTAAAACTAAAACACTTGTATCGTATCCGATCACTCGGCGTAATTGGCGTTCCATACAAACACTATGCCATGAATAATGATCGATTGGTTTGTCAACGGCAACGATTCATTCACTAACTAATTAGCGATACAGCATCCAACAACGTGCTACTAATAACGATTGGTCAACAATAACTTTGTCCATAATTGAATAATTGAATACCTCTATAATCATCACAACACTATTCTATTTGTTACTTAAATTAATGACTGTGCACATTTTTCATGCAATGATTTCTCGTAATCTGTGACAACTTAAGAAAAATCGTGTACAAAATGTTAAATAATAGTTCATGTTACTGAAAGGAAAGGTGAATACCTTAATTGCCAACAGAAATAGAATGTTTCACCCGAGTAAATTTCATTGGTTTTTTAAAGCCCTTTTCAGACTATCAAATTTTATTTGACAAAAACATGTGACATGCCTAAATATGGTCATGATGACATCACATCATGGCCATATATAGGCACATCATGACTATATATGGTAATAAAATAGTTTATGTCAAAGAAAATTTGATATTGTGGACAGAGAGCTTAATACGATGCAACAGTAATTTTGGCCTAACATCATCTTTCCCACCCTGCAGTTCTTCAGTTCGCCTACAACAGGAATCGTACAATTATAAGTACTGAACATACGTGTCCAACACCAGAAACCTTAAAAGAGGCTGATTGCCAATGCGTACTTTAAAATGGCAATATTGTCATATTGTATGCCTACTACAATAAATAATTAATTATTAATGTTTTTGACTTATTCATCGATAACAATACTGATGTAATAACCAAGTGTATGGTACAGTGTAAAAGCAAATAATGTATACGTATACTGATGATGAAGATGTTTCCATCTGGAATCCATCCTATCAACTTTATGAAAAAACCCAACGAATGTAGGGCTGGCGCCAAGTGTCATCGCTTTCATCATGATATCCGTTGCAATTGATCTATGCATTAATTATTTCTATTGTTGTGAAAGTCATATTAAGTACGTTATTAATCTTGTCCAATTTTAAGTCACGATTGCAGAATATGACAATTATGAAATAAGAGTGGAGATTTGGCTTTGGTGGTCAAGACTTTATTAGCTTTTATCAAATTTCCTTTTACAAAAAAACTGTTGTATGCCCATTGATGATTTGCCTATATACATGGTCGTGATCTGATGATATCATGACCATAGTTAGGCATGTCGCATATTCTAAACAGGGACTTTAGGTCTCTGTATTCAATCCATGTAAATGCCATGGGTCTTTCTCTGGACTAAAAAAAGAAAATGGTTTTTGCAGGTGGCCAGCCGAGTTTGCAGGCTGTATTTAAATAATAAACGGTCGTATATGCCTAGTTTATCAGAATGCTCATAATTCGTACGCATGAAAGTGTGTGCGGGTGGAGTATGCAATCTAGGCTGCGCTGAAGTCGCTCATGTGAACTTAAAACTTCATCATGCGTTTATGAGGCGTCATAATATGCTGGATTAGGATATCCGTCTCATATAGTGTGTTAATGTTTCAATTCAATTTTCTTTATTATTGTTCATGCCACATTTTAATGAGAAAGAACTAAAACAATAATTAAAATTGAACAAACATGCTTGCTCACCGTCGTTGACATCTTGCAAAATGAAGTGGAAAAAGCCGTCGCCCCAGCAGAAGAAAAAACTCACCGGGTGGAACACGATACTGCAATAGCACAAGAAAATAAGACGGGTTACCGTTGTACAACCAAAAGTCAAATACTTTACACGGTCAATTTACGTTCCGATCTTACGCTTCACAGTGAAAATACACGAACACGTGCACCCGCCTGGCACGATCATACAACGCGTAAAAATGTACGTGCATAGTAAGTATAGTTCCTCCGTGGTCTTTCTTTGTAAATGTTACTTCTAACAAACGCCGGATCAATTAAACAAACAATTCTGGTCGATGCTTAAACATACAGTGTACAAAATGAAAAGTGTTCATAAACCATGCATATTCATATTATTACATCGTACGTTGCTTGCCATTATATATGTGGGCGCGCTTGCAGGTGCGTCTGCTCAGATCAGAAGCACTATACTGTATAGACACATCTTTTAAGAAGATACATATAAATTGCACAGAAGGTCTGAAGGTAGTATAGATAAATAAGAATGTCGTTTGAACCAAGGTCTCTGGTCAGATTCCCGCACATCAGCCCATATTTTGATTTGCTCCACCACGGACCATTTACCGAATCGTCTTTTACCTATCTTCTTACAGATACATTAATAGGATCGGACTACCTCAGATATTTCGCAGCAGATAATGTTAATACGAAGCTAAATAACGAGAAAAGTACTGCAATTTGCCAATAGTTACATTTTAGCTCAGTTGTTAGTAGACGTCGGAACAGTTCTCAAGCTTTCTTTACTTCAACTGAAAATCACGGAGAGTACACGCAACACGCAACCAGTCGAGAAAAGTCAACATTATGATTGTAATTCAGAGGTAGAATTCAATGACATAAACTCTAAATGATGGTAATTCCGTAAACTTATATACTTGCTTAGAATTAAAAAAAAACCAAGACGATATAATTGGGTGAACATAAATAGCGTGCTTGCTAATTAACTAACAGTATGAATTGCAATGTCACAACCTAGATTACATGGATAGTAAGTTCCACTTATTCATTCAAAAACGATATTGATAACAATAAGGTAGAATAAATGATTACATCTGTTAGACCTTCGCTCATAATACTGATTGACATATCTATGTCCGTATTCTATTGTTACTCTTTCTTCATTACTGACGGTACGACGCATCAACGTTCACCCTAGCTACATCTTAATACACAGCTGGGTAATATTAGTAAGCGTTGAGTAGTAGTCTAGTAAGAGAGCCTAGTAATAGCAGTAGAAGTAGCATTGCAGTAGTAGCAGCAGCATCATCATTACAGTTGGTAGTAGTAGTAGTACTAGCAGCAGCATCAGCAGCACTTAGTAGTAGTAGCAACAGCAGCAGCATCAGCAGCACTGAGTAGTAGTAGTAGCAGCAGCAGCATCAGCAGCATCAGTAGCAGCAGCAGTAGCAGTAGCAGTAGCAGTAGCAGTAGCAGCAGCAGCAGCAGTAGTAGTAGTAGTAGTAGTAGTAGTAGTAGTTATAGTAGTAGTAAGTAGTAGTAGTAGTAGTAGTAGTAGTAGTACCTGTAGTAGTAGTACTAGTAGTACTAGATGTGTATAAGAGACAGGGCCTACACTGATAACAGAAATAGTAAAAACAGTTTCCGTAGTAGTAGTAGTAGTAGTAGTAGTAGTAGTAGTAGTAGTAGTAGTAGTAGTAGTAGTAGTAGTAGTAGTAGTAGTAGTAGTAGTAGTAGTAGTAGTAGTAGTAGTAGTAGTAGTAGCAGAAATAGTTCTTGAGAGGGGGTGGGGAGCCTCAGTTTCCCAGCTTAAAAAGGCACAGAGTGTGATTCATGGTCTATCCACAATACAATATATTCTTTTAATGCAGTCGTTTCAGCTTTAATATTTATAATGTTCTCAGAGGTTTGAGGTTTGCGAATATTTTAATGATTCACGGGCCCAACGACTCGTCGTTACGCCACCGAACCCGTGTCTAAAGTAGCAGGCCCTAATAGCCCAACCCTGATTTACTCAACTCCTAGTAAGTTACAGTACTCGCTTTATACATTACCAAGGTGGCCCACTCTAATCAAGATGATAATACCTACACAAAACAACAACCTGTAAACCTTATTTCGCTCTATTAATAGTTTCCTCAATAGTTTTGTATAGAAATGATAAGATAGATAGGCTAAAGAGGCCCTTGATTAAGTACAAACATTTTCATTTATTTTACTTGGTCATAAAATCCGAGCTGACTGCTTTTCAACTGCTAGCTTCCACGAACATAGTATCGTTATTACCTGGATTGATCATTGCTGAACTTCCGCAGCTAAAAATATTGTCATAACAACGCATCGTAGAGGTTTTAATGTCAAATGTTGTTACTAATATTGACAATGAATTATAGATGTCACTCATGACCCACTTTTAATGTTATATGCCTACTGTGTAAGTAGGCCTATTTATTTTTATAGTACGGAGCTGATTAAAAGTCCAAATTTCCCATCCAGCCCCTGCTGCAGAGGAATATCTCACACTCGAATTGCACATACCGTATTTATTCGAATAAGCTCTCCGCTTTAAATAAACGCCCCATCATCTAGAGCCTCATATTTTTGAATAAACGCCTCCCTCGTATAAACGAGGCGTTAATTTTTTTTTCTTGAATAAACCCCCCCCCCTTAACAACTGTCAACAAATCTAATGGAGACAACATCATTTTCAACACATTCTATTAATTTTCAACTCCAGTAGAATTACATATTGCCTAACCTGGTTGAGATCGATAAGTCTTTATGACCATGCGATCAGATAACACATTTTGACGGTAATTATGTGTTTTAGTTCCACATTTACAGTGAAATTAGGGGGCGTTTATTTGAGTATATCACGTATCCATTTTTCACCAAAAAAACCCTCCCTCGAATATACGCCCTCTCAAAAACCCTTCTCAACGACAAACGCCCTGGGGCGTTTATTCGAAAAATACGGTAATACTATAATTCAAAGATGTTCGTAGTAGCAGCAGCATCGTCTTTACGGTGGTAACATGTATTTTAAAAGGTTTGCTATGGCGATAAGAAATAAATACAGCATGAACGTAGGCTATAGAAGGAAGAAGGTACTGAAAATATAATATGGTTTGTAAGTTGTTGAAATATTATTTCAACGACTTATAACCATATGCAGTTCTGTAATATGAAGACATGCGCCGTTACAGGTTGAATTCTGTATGCTTTTAAAGAAAATTGAGCAGGTTTTCAGCTGGGAATTTTTTATACAAATTGATTTACGACAAAAGCGTTAAAAACAGTTACATGTGAAATTCATAATTATTATTCGCGTTGTTTTACTTTACAAATGCCATAGTTTGCAATTAATTTACACTCAATGGAATAAAAAATAATTGAAAATTAAATCAAAAAAATATATGTTAATTAAATTTCAGGTGTAGGCCTACTTGTGAATATTATTATTACTAAACTTTTATCAATATCATAAAATTGCACATGATGAAACATTATATGTATGAGGTAAAAGGTAGGAGAATAACCCATAACTCGCAGCGTCATCGTGTGAATTGCGTATGGGTATGGTTCCGTGATTACCTAGCAGCCGTAAAGAGGCGCTTAGTAGCTACATGTTCACATCATTCCACAAGAAAAGGTGGGGTGGGGGCTGAAATGAACCATAGCATCGGGTAACCGACTACTCTTCCGAAATATACAATGCGTTCTTTAAGGTGCACACGAGCCAGATGTGTACACTGGACCATTGGCGTATCTAGGGGAGGGCGCGGGTGCCTAAAAAAATTACTCTTGCTCCCCAGTCGCCCCAAAAAATCACGGTCAAGTAACCAAAAATCAACATATTTTGCGAATTAGCGCCCTCAACTGATCATTGAGGGTTAGGGCTGTAGTTGAAATAATGATGAAATCTATAAATAATATAATAGTGTATGCAAGAAGACGTGAAACTAAACCACTTCATTTCATTTTAAATTGTCTTAAACTACTTATTCAGTTTGAAGAACGACTGTATTTCCACAAATATGGTGAATGGACTGAGAGCAAGGTTACATGCAAGGATTATTGCATTGTAAGGGGATAAAGAATAAAATGATGATGTACTTCGAAGAATAGCGATAATCGCATAGAGTGATGGAACAAATCTCCAAATTCTAACGCGTTGTTCCCCTCATCAGAGCTGTCCCCAAATTAAAACATGCTTATTATATCATCAAATAATGAGCTTCCTATCGATAATTAAATGGTATTTCACTTCAAGTAATTTTTACATAATATCATGAGCTATTGAATATTAAATTGCAAAGACAGTTCCAGAAATGATATTTAGCTGATAATGTCGATAAATTGACTTTTGTGATTTCAAAATTAATAAATTGTTCCTAGCGATCAACGCGTAAAAACAGCCAATTAAAAAATGAGAAGCACAGGACATTAACACTTCCAACAAGGTTGAGATGGTTTTGATGTGATACACACTTTCTTCTGTTGGAATAAAGTGAAAACTCAGCAAGCGAAAAATGCTTTTTTTTAAATATATACTTTTTAGTTTAGAGAATATAAGTTATGTTTTGAAAAAAATATCAACATGAGACTTGTTACGAGACCTTACGGTAACTAAAAGTACTATTCTAAGCCTATGTGATACTTAATTGAAAATATTATCTAATCCACATTATGCTTTTTCTTTTTTTAATAATAGTTTACGTAGATTTCATGACGTAACACGCACAAACATGTATTTTACCAGACTACATGTCCCTCTTTTTCGTTTTAAAATTATGCGCGTGCATTGCATGACGTCACGCGTACAGACTTAATAGATTACACCTTGTCTGCTTCTGATTTTCTTTTCGAATAATCGTCTACTTACCGTATATTAAATGATATTAATAATAATTGTTATTTCATATTTCTATTCTTGGCCTTGCTGGTAAATCACATTTTCCGATCGTTTTTTTTTTCCTTTAATTATTACTATTGGACATTCACAACAATTTTTTCCACACTAACACACGTGCAATAGATAACACCGTTCTGACACATGTGTCCATATTCCAGTGCCACGATCGATACGCAATCGGATGAGGAAAATTTATAAACGATAAACTGTCTCGTAATTTACAAGAAATGTCCAGCATTAACCTCCTATTCGTTACTGTAATGTTCATGTATATATGTTAAGACTTACATATTTCACATTATATATATAATAATTATTAACATTTATATGCAAATAAGAAATATATTACTTCAATTATTTTTAATTATTCAGACAAGTGCATTGGGGCTCCAAAAGCAACAAAGTCAGCATGACAAGTCTGGAGCCACAGAAAACTAAACTTAACTACATGCTTAGCTATAAAATAAAAATATAAGTTCAAAAATGAATGATAAAACATTACTTTAATATAGATATTATATTTTACTCATCGAGATAATATATAATTTTATATATATATATATATATATATATATATATATATATTTGATTGTTTAAATGTTTCATTTCAATACTCTATTTTATCAAACTTCCAATCATAACCTAAATTAGCTTACTTGTTTTACTTAAGATTTGTTTGCCTGTACATTATTTATGTTTTTGTGATTTGTGGACACACCATTTTGTCTAACCTGTGCCTCATCCAATGAATTATTAGGCCTATATTTTATATACGAAAATTGTTAAATTTGCTTTTAGAAATGTAAGTGTGTATGCTTTAGAATGAACCTTTCCGCTAAGCCGTCTCTTGGATATTATTGCCCGCAAGCAATACCGAATAATATACGTGAACACGTGTGTTTATAGAACACGCGCGTATTCATGGCTTTATTTTAACTGGTCAGTTGTAAAGTTCGATTAAAGGCCTGTTTTCAACGATAACGATAACGATAAAAAAAGCTAAAAAGCAATTGTTCATATAGAAAATAAAAGAAATGAGAATTTTCTCACTAGAACGATTCG